CCGGGGGGCGGAGGGACCCGGCGCAGGGAGGCGGGCCCGCCCCAGCTCGTGCGGGGCCCCGCGCCCACGTGGGTCTAGCCGCCCGGGGACAGCTGTCCCGCTATTTTCGGCGGGTGTTCCCTTTCGTGAGGAGCCGGAGCGCCGCCACCTGTTGCCTCACGTGCTTTCAGCCTCAGCGGGTTGGAGACGCGGAGGCGGCGGCGAGAAGCGCAGTCTGTGACTTGGGGCCCTGAACCTTGGCCATTCCGGCAGGAGTGCCCCGCTGGCCTCCGAGCGCCCGCGACGTGCGGTTCTGCCCGTTTCTTTACACATCTTTTCTCATTCAGCCCACAAAGCCCTTGCGAAGTAGGTGATGCTCTTCCCACACGAGAGGGGAGAAAACCAAGCCTCGATAATAGCCAAACGCGTTGTGTGTGCCAGGCCGCCCAGCTGTTGGAACGGAACTGGGATGTGCACCTGGCTGGGTTCGGTGCCAACCCGAGCGCTTGATTAGCCGCTTGGTCTTCCACCGTGTCTCTGCCGTGATGTTGCAGAAAACCGGGGGAAAAATTAAGCAACGCTTAGAGCAGCGGTTCTCAACCTGCGGGTCGCGACCCCTTTGGGGATCGAACGACCCTTTCACAGGGGTCGCCTAAGACCATCGGAAAACACATATATAATTACTACTGTTTTTGTGATTAATCACTATGCTTTAATGATGTTCAATTTGTAACCATGAAAATACGTCCTGCATATCAGATATTTACATTACAATTCATAACAGTAGCAAAATTACAGTTATGAAGTAGCAGCGAAAATAATTTTATGGTTGGGGGTCACCACAACACGAGGGGACTGTATTAAAGGGTCGCGGCATTAGGAAGGTTGCCAACCACTGGCTTAGAGAGTGTGGAGTGACACTTTAATATACGCCGGTGGTGCTTAGAGAAAAATGAATTCAAATTCTAAGCAGAGCAAACAAGCAGAGTTTTCCTTTTTATTAAAGAGCCAGCCCTGTGTGTGCTTAGTGTTTATCTCCCTGGAAACTGTGGCCTTGAAAACAGCACCATTCTATCCAATTAAATAATACACCTGGCATGGCGTGAGAGTATGGGCGTATCTGGTCTCTGGCTTACAGGGTCAGTCTGCTAAGTTTATCTTCCTTATTAGTCAAGCAGGCTAGAAAGCAAAGTTACTTTTTCAGAATGAGGGGCTGTCTAAAAATTGCAGAGTTGACTTTACAGAATAAGGGACTATCTAAATAGAGAATTTCAAACAGTAGTTTTACAAAATAGGGGTTAGCCTTCTCAGTGCCTGGACTGTCGCTGCAAATTCCATGTTTCCTAGGCCACTCTTTACTCTCCACCAGTCTGCGCCTTGCCTCCGAGGAGGAGTCAAAGTAGAGGTTTATTAGACGGGACTTACGGTTTATTTGATAAGAACTGCGTGTAGAGCTGTCCGGGCAAAGGTTTCAGAAATAGCTCCAGAGGGGCCTTCCCAAAGGAGGGAACGGAACCTGAAGGTGATCCAGAGAGCTGTAAAGTTTCAGAGGAAAGTGCCCCAGCGAGCAAGATGGCAGTGCCCTCTGAAGTGGCAGGAGTGGACACTGAATCCTGACAAGGTGACTAGGACGGTGGTACCGTGGAATTCCCCCAAAGGAAAGTTTCGTCTTAGCTCACCCCCTCCGTATCACTGTGCTCAAGCAAATAAAGTGACATCATAATAGCGGACGTTTCTCTAGTACTTACTATGTGCCCAGCACTCTTTTAAGACTTTACATATTAATAGTTCATTAATCCTCAAAACAACCCATAAGGTTTTACTGATGATGGAGTGTAGGCACGGAGAGGTTTCATAAACTGTTGGCTCAGGTAGCAGTAATAGATAGTAAAAGAGGACATTGATAGCGTGTTGTGGTTTATTATGTGCCAGCATGTACTTTACTCTCTATATCCTTTGGTACTTTATTACACAGGCTAGGGTAGTGGCATTCCAAGACTTTGCAGGGTCATCATGGCTAGTCAGTGGCTTCAAGCTGGAATTGAACTGTAGAGTTGTCTGAATATATGTCCTTTCCTCTGCCCAGTCTGCATATTGCCTGAAATGCATACAATTTTGATATGATCCCCTAAATTTAGATTACCTATTAGTGAGGGTGTCAAAATTAGCATAAGTTACATAATTTAGTAGTGAAGAGGGGGAAAAATGACTGAGAGATTAAGGGTGTAAAAAATGAATCTGGAATGAATTTTGAGAAGATACAGTGCTTGGGGGTAGGAAGCAGTTTGGTCACGCTGCCCCCTGCTGCTTTGCTTTGGGAGGAGCCCTGAAATGTCATAGGTACCCGCTAACGATGCAAGGCAGCGAGCGCGGGGCACTACTGAGCACTTGAAATGTGGCTAGTGTGACTGAGGCACTGAATTTGTACTTTTTTAAAAAAATACATATTTTATTGATTTTTTACAGAGAGGAAGGGAGAGAGATGGAGAGTTAGAAACATCGATGAGAAACATCGACCAGCTGCCTCCTGCACATCTCCCACTGGAGATGCGCCCGCAACCCAGGTACATGCCCTTGAACGGAATCGAACCTGAGACCCCTCAGTCCACAGGCCGACGCTCTATCCACTGAGCCAAACCGGTTTCGGCTATTAATTACATTTTATATGTGATGTCTTCAGACTGTAAAAATCAGTATTCACTAAAGGTGTGAATAGCTTCCCCATATGTGGTTGATACATAGGTACTACAGTCACATTACTTGAGAGGTTATTTTATTTAGGCAGTTATTCTTTCCTTGTTTTTTTTTTTTTTTTTTTCTTTTCCCCTCTATTTCAG